TCAATTTAAAACCTCTCCTGTACGAGTTCACCATCAGGTCGTCAAAGCGCGGCGAGGCGATATAGTCATCGACGGCCTTCTTCTTGGCCTTGATGTCTCTCATGGCCTGTGCAGTGCGAGAAGCCGCTTCAGCAGCGCGGGAAGCCTCTTCGGCAGCTCGTGCCCTTCTCGAGCTCCTTTCTGCTTGGGCTGCTAAAGCATGGATGGAGTTCACCTACCAAAAGGAAAAATAACGACAATGTTAAAAGAGTAAATAGCGAAAAAGGTAATGATAAGGAGCTCGACAAGAAGTCGTTGACTTACCACCATGGCATAAGAGGCAGCACGCCCGACTACGTGGTTCAAAGGAAGCTCGGCCCACGCCGCGACCTCCTCAGGGTAAACGGCCTCGTTACTTTTTCGAAGAGTGTGGTTCAGCGACAGCACGCTCCTGAACTTGCCTTGGCCTCCCGAGCCTGAAGGCCCAGCCCGGGTATAAGCAGCATCGGCGTAAGGGGCCCCTGCCACTTCTTGTACTGGAGGGGCCATCTCGAGCTCCCTGTGCGATCCATTGAAGGAGAGCTCAGTACCTCGGGCTCCGCATCTCGGAGGCACGAGCCCGTTTGGCAACTCGCTTCCTCCTCTTCATGGCATGAAACAGGTTCCCACCGCGAGTCTTTTCTGCATCCATCACACCTGCAAAAAGTGCTCGGCATCAGGAAAACGAAAGAATGGAAAACAAAACAAAGGCAAGCCTCTCAGTAAGGAACCTACCCGAACTCAGGCCGACCTAGATGAACTTGGCCTCCATTAGATAATGGTGCCATTTTAGCCCGAGCCGGGCCCAGTCACGGAGGCCCTTCGCAATCTCCCTATCTAGCGTAACACCGGGGTCAGGGGCAACCAACCCCCACCCGGTTTGGAACGACCACCCCGTTGCACTTCGTACCCCGAAGTATTCCCGTTTCCACGCTGGGACCTTGTTGGGAAGATCGTATAAAAGCTTGAACCCCGGGCGAGGAGACAGGTAGTACGCCCGCCTACGCCCGGGAAGGGTACCCGCTTGCTTCTTAAGCATCAGAATAGAAGAGAAGATCTCTAAGTCTAAAGGCATGATGTGTTCGCAAAAGAATGAAATAGTCACAACCAAATTGTGGATAGAATTCAAGTGGAGCTGACCGACGGTGACGTCGAAGTGGTTCATAACCTCGACAATAAGAGGGTGAAAAGGTAGGCACAGCCCGGTGACGGGTTACTCACGTAATATCACGATCTCGTCAGGACCGTGTTCCCAAGGGAAGTCGCCCGAGGGTATAAAGTAAGTAGACTCCCCGAATAGGTTGAATTGGGTGATAAGGGAGTAAAGCCCCTCAGGCGTCATGGTTGAGGACCCGAACTTGTCTAACATCCGACCTCGACGGGAGGACGCCAAATTACCCGAGGCAACTGGGCCTACAGGTTCGAACTCTTCCTCGAACTCTCCCTCGAGCTCTACCTCGGGCTCACTAAGGTTGTCGGGGGATGCAGCTCGGTTCGTGGAACCTGCATCTGACGCCCTCAAGAAGCTGTCTAAGCTGTCCGAGCTAGACATCGGGAGGAAAGGAAAACCAGGAAGAAAGTACTGACTCACCCGAAAAAAGCTAACGGACTACGTAAGGTTGACGCGAGCTAAAACTTGGATGCGAGCTCAAGAAGCGAACGCAGGAGAATGGCGATGGAAAGCGACTGGGGGTCCCCCACTATTTATACCCACAGTGACCGAAAACCGACGGCTCTGATCGAGGCAAATCCAACGGCTCACGATCAAAGCTGACCACACGCCTCCTAAGACCGAGACGCAACTGGCCGCACATCTTTGGAAACCGAAGCAACGCCGACGCACGTCCCCCAGCATTAAAGGCAACAAGGCACGTTTTTTGAATTTGAAAGAACGCCCGCCATCACAGCAAGGCACGTTTTTTGAATTTGAAATAACGCCCGCCATCATGTCTCCCAGCCTTTAAAGACGGATCGGCACATTTTCTGAATTTTTTGGCGCTCGAGGAATCCGAAAATCTCCTGACGTACGCACACTTCACGCCAACAGTCAACCGGTTTGAAGTACATGTCAAATACACCCGTTACCTCGCAAACTCCCCCCGCTAGGGCAAGACCCCTAGTGTAAGGAGTGGGGGGCAATTGATAGAAGAAGATTTGGCTCGACCTCTTAGCCACCCAGCACGTGGAAGCAACCAAGGGTGACCTAGTAGGAACTACAGCTCGGCACGACAGTGCGCTCAAGGTGCGAGCTCCGAGAGGAAGAACCAATGGTCCGAGCTCCCCAAAAGGAGTCCGAACTCTCCCTTTGACCCCGAGCCTTACGAGGAGTGCAAAGGGCAACAACCCGAACTAGCCCACCCTAGCGTAGTTCGGGCCACACTTCTATCCGAACTCAAGACTTCACCTCGCACACCACTCTGGCACTTCGTCTCCAAGCCGCTGAACTGAACAACCGTACCTGACACCAAAGGAGTCTGTATCCTGAGGCGGCGCTCCTAATTGACTTGGGATCTGACGCTTGACAGCCACACTTCAACGGCCACTTGCCACCGCCACCTCTAGTTACAAAGACGGTTCCGACAAAGAAAGCAATGGCGGTTGTCTGCCCCAACAGAGGTGATGACACCCGAATTGGCAGAAGTGCAGAGGTAATGATATCCGACCTGACAGGAGCTTGAGAGTGAGTGCGCGAAGTGGTTATAAAAAGCCATATTCCCCCCAAGAATGGAAGTACGTGATAACTTTGCGCCATCTGATTTTTTATCTTGCCTTTGAGAAAATACCAACTTGAGCTTCGGAGCACTCTCACTAGGTTCCTCCCCGGAGACTACTCGCTTTTTCCTCGCTTCAGGCACCTTTTGCTCCAATCAGAGGCAAGATCGTTGACAGCTAAGACCGACCGGATTGCGCTCCATCAAATAACATTATAGTGTCATCCTATTATTCCTGGCTTTTTCTAAGGACTTTGTTTGGTTCGAAACAAAAGGTCTACCTTTTCTTCAATTTCTAAAGGCTAAGAAAATTTGATATGAGCCTGAGATAAATGCAAACTCCACAACAACTTAAACCCACTCTGTGGTTGCACTTCCATTGTGCCCTTCACCAATTACATCTAACCATGATCCCCCCAAACCACAGAGTCAGACAGTCAGACTTTCTTCCAAACTTGCCAATGAGAAGGCTTTATCATTCTTTTTGGATATAAAGGAACAATTTAACATAGAAAAAATCACTCATGCTTGAAATCCTTTCTAAGTGTTTGATGGGAACTAAAACCGCCTGGTGGAGGATCATAAGGATTGTTTCTGATGGAGGGAGATTTGGCCCAACCCCTTGGCCATGCGACACGTGGAAGCAACTGAGAGTGACCTGACAGAAACACCAGCTCGACACGACAGCGGATCCACAACCCGAATTCCAAGAAAAGGAGTCTTGAGCTCCCCAAAAAAAGGAACCCACGACCCGAGCTCCCCAATGAACCTGAGCTCTCCCTTGGAGGTCCTGAGCCTTACAATGAGCGCAAAGGGCAAAAACCCGAGCTGACCCACCCCAGGGCAGTTCGAGCCACACTTCTATACAAATTCAAGACTTCACCACACACACCACTTCGGCTCCAAGTCGCTTGACTGAACAACCGTACCTGACGGACAGGAAGCCCATACACAGGCGGCGCGCCTGACTGATTAGGGGTCTGACACATGACAGCCGCCCTCCAACGACCACCTGCCACCGCCATCTCAAACGTTGCAGAGACAGCCCTGACAAAGAAGACAGTGGCGGTTATGACACCCGAACTGGCAACTGGCAGATGTTACGACACCCGAACTGGCGTCTGGCAGAGATGACACCCGAACTGGCGAAAGTGATGATGCCCCCCGATCTAGCAGAGGTATGGGAGTGAATGTACCAGGGTGATTATAAAATGCCCCCTTCCCCCAAAGGAGGTAGGTGATTTTTGTGCTTTCTGGACTTGAAGTCCCTTATTTTCCTTGTCTTCTCTAAGAGCACTAACTTGAGCTTTGGAATGTTCCAACCGGGTTCCTCCCCGAAAGTCTCCAGTTTCTTCCTTATTTCAGGCACCCTCAGCTCCGTCAGAGGCGAGGTAACCGGAAAATAGGACCGACCGGATTGCGCATCATCAGTTTCTATAGCCTAGATATATGTAACATCAAGACAAATTCTTCTGTAGGCAATTGGAGAGGTTGAGGTTAGAAGTATGATCTTCATTTAAATTAGTTATTGCTTTTAGCATAACTTGTGTGTCATGTCATGAGTTTCAAAAGAGGAGAATGTCAACACACAAACACCCCCACCCCCACCACCAAAAAAGGGGAAAAAAAAGAAAGACAGACTTTAGATTTGTCATATGAAACAAGATTGCAAGAGTCTAGGAGTGAGAAAAATCATTTTGGAATGAAATCAACTAGTGAAACATAAATGCAGGGAATATTTTGAACCACGATGATAACGGGCACCAAGGCACAAACATAACGGGCACCAACGCCTACAACGGAGATGAGGCCAACCATTCTATGATAGCTTGCATTATCCTGGAAATTGGTTCTTCAACATGCCTTCTTTTATTAGTCAAATAACAACCTTTGTTTATGGAAAACAGGGTCTTTACCAAAACATGGATTGCTTACTCATTCGTGATAAAGACAAATTCTCACTAGAGATAGGATTGAATTTAGGACCAGAAACATTTGGATACCATACAGTGATGTGGTAATACAGTCACTTTGACATTGAATGACACAGCATTGCTATTTTTATGTTTCAAAATGACCATCTATTCAAGAATATATCAAAACCATGGCTAGTAATACACTATCATCAACATTATGTCAGATTCACACTGATGAAAAAGAAGGTTAGATTCACAACCACAATTTGAGGCAGTTTAAAGTTTATTTTTTTCCCATGAAAAGAATTAAATTTATTTTATACGTTTTTTTTTTCTTTCTGATTTCCCTGTTCCTTTTCTTCATTTTTTCATCAACAATTTTGTGCAATAGAACAAACTTTACAATTTTCATGGATGCATAAACCAAAAACTTTTCTAAATGCTTTAAACATTGGTGAAAAATCAAAGTTCGATCTCTGTGAGGTTTCAAGTTAAAAAAAAAAAAAAAAAAAGGAAGAAAAAACAGACAGTCAAATGCAGATCTGTGAACTAACCTCTTCTCGTCGGTGGCTGAACGGTGAAACTGTCGCCGTGCGAATAGGGGAGTTCAAATGTAGATCTACAAAGAACAAGGAGTTCAAGTTAGAAATGAAAAAAAAAAGATTAAATGAGAAAAAACTTCAGAAAATAGAAGAAAGTAGCCAAACAACAGGTCCGCCAACCACTTTTCCTCACCACCGATCGTCACCGGTGGACCTGCAACTGGTGCGCCGCTACCTGGGTTTGAGGTTCGAATGAACGGAGGAGGTATAACCCTCATGGGGGTATTTTAGGCATTAAAAAAAATTATTAGGGACTGGTTCATCCCATTTTTTTGGAGAAGTACTTCAAGAAGTACTTAAAAAAATGCAACTTTAAGTCACTTTTTTAAAGAAGTATTTCTTTAAAAAAAAGTACTTCTTCCCCACTTTTTTACCAAACATACAAAACCACTTAATGTGTGGTCTCAGCTCTTAAAAGAAGTACTTTTAAGTGTTCTCAAACACTACCTAAGAGGACTTTGCCTACTCTGGGTCTTGGTGGGATCTCTCCCCTCTGCTCTACCAATATCCTTGGTTGACATTTCAATGACAACTGAAACTGATTTTTGCCAAAATACGCCCCAAAGAAAATACTTCCCGAGAAATCCTGCAAAAAGAGTAGTTTTCAACAAATTGATAATAGCATTCCATATATAGAAAATGTTATTCAGGTTTGACTGATAAAGTTCTTGAGCTTACTCCGGCATGTCTGTGGCAATTCAAGCGAGGGGAAAATCAACAACTCCACAGCTCCAAGCATTGCCTTCAGTGCAAAATCATGCTCAATTAAGTGAAACAGCAAGTCCTCGAACTGTGGCTTATCTCTGTGACAATATAAAAATAATTTTCATAATAATGAAGCAATTTCATATAACCAGGAACAGAAGATAACAGGTGTTGCAACTTAAATGACAATACCTTTCTTTTTCTGGAAAAAAATAGAGAGCGATATTGTCATCAGTAGGTGGCGACTTGCAAAATCTTGGAGGCCACACATCAAGCTTTGGCAGCATTTCTAAACCAAGCAATGGTTGTAGTGCATTCACCTTGTCACTCACTTTTGAGCATGCCTTACTGGATACATGTCCCACAAGACATGGAATTCCATCATATTTCTTATTAGAGATGTGGAAAGATCCCCTGCCAGGACAAACCAACAATAATTTGAAATCAATACCATAGATGCCAACATTTAGATGCGAAGAAAACAAAAGAAACAAAAGACAAAAAATAAAAAATAAAAAAACTGACCTCCAAACAGGACTGATGATTGGTTGTGCAGGTCCATATTCTGAAAATGACTGCTGGCAGCTTTCTGGGGCAACTTGGGAAGTTCTGAGTTTAACAACAGCCTCTTCAGGATACAGATTAACTTCGGAAGTTCTGATATCAACTTTAACGCCCTTTTCAGAATCCAGAGCTAATTGAGAATTTTTTACTTCAATAGAGTTGTCTTCATCATCCACAATTAATCTTCTTCTCTGTTTTTTGAACTTAAGATCTCCATTGCTATTCGCACCACAAGCATGCAAACTTTGTTTCTCCTCACTCGAGAGGGGGGAATCATTCCCTACCTGGGAAGACTCAAACTTCTTGGAAAAAGACTTCTCAGCGTTCTTTGGCATACATTCCTCACATATCCAAGTAACATTCTCATCATCAGGTTCTGGCAGTTTGTCCAAGCAGTAGCTATGAAAGAATAAGAAATGCAAGCATAAAATTTAGTAACATTTTACGAAACAAAATCAAACAAATCTTTCGTTTTCATTTTTTTTTCTTTTTTGAAAGAACAAAATCAAACAAATCATTGATATTGTGCAATACAACATTTATTTGATGCCCTAGTATTTGTTTTTCATTTAGATTAGATTACCAATGGTACAGGATAATTCAATGTTTACATCGCAGTATTGTATTTTCATTTCAGGCATGCTCCTCTTTACAAATTTGATTCTAGGCACCTTTTACATGTGAAATCATAATTCCATCACCTATTTCCTTTTTCATATAATTTGATTCTTGGGTTCAAATCCCTTAAGCTTCTATGATTTTTTTTAATTGGCCCACTTGTGAAGAAAAAATCACTTCACAACAAGGTCATATAAAATATATATGCCCAAAAGGCTGCACTTGGTAAGAGTGCAAATGCAGAACCAAAGCTGCACTCCAGTTGGCTTTACAGATATTTGGTAAAATCGCATTCTTGTACTGAAAATGGTAGTGTATTTTTTTTTTCCACCATTTGGAAGTAAACATTGCACTCAAAGTTGGTCAATGTAAAATAAGTTGGTACCAGCCTTGAGATTTGTATTTGCACCCATCACAATCAAACAGGATTTAAATTTTTCAATGCAAAACGGATCCAACATTGCATCCATACTCATTGATCAAATTTGCATTTGTATCAGCAAACAAATGCAGCCTAAAGAACAAGCAACCAGAAGGACCAGTATTGAAGCATACCGATGTTCTGCAGAAAACTGACACTTGGAACAGTATATTAGACACTCAGGGAAACCAGTGACACCACACTTCTGACAAACAGTCACCTGTAACTACAAATTAGAGTTGTTAGTATTTCATGTTTGCAACCATCTCCAAGGTCAAAGCATATTAGTAATAACTATTATTAGGGAAGAAAAATGAATAGGAACCTATAGAGGTTCTTGAGAAGAATACACTCAATGCACATATAGGATTTAGCAGACTCAACATTGTTATCAATAGGGGGCCATTTGATAACAGCATAAGCAGCTGAACTGGACTACTAATTGCTTTATTTTAGTTGATGAAATAATTAATAATAAAAAAATCAAGGGTACAGTGATCAACTCAACTTCAGCTTCAATCAGGGAGCTTACAACCTCCTTAGTTAACATATTCACTAAAAGAAAAAACAATAAGCCATTTCAACTGTTATAAAACAACCCCTAAAAAGTAGCATTTGGAAATCTTAAAGTCAGATAACTCTGACATCTAATTATATATTATTTTTTTGATAAATAACTGAAAACGTTTCATAAATCAGGAGCAAACACCAAGCTGCTAAAAACAAATGGGAAGCAGTCCAAAAAGTACAAGCAGCTACCAACAAAAAAAAAAAAAACTCAGAAATAATAGAGGGAAAAAAATCTGTTGCATATCACAGCCCAGCCCTGAGCAACTCCATTCAAGAGAAACTCTCCCAACCCTATTTCTTGCCAGAGAGTCGGAAAACATATTAGCACACCAAGGAACCAAGTTGAATGAGTTGTTCAAATTGGCACCCTAAAGAATGTGTTAATCTCACCATAGGCCTGAACTGCCACGGAATCTGGTTTTGAGATCCCATCTGGTGTAAAATAGAGTAATACTATAATCTTTTTTATCAATAAAAAAAAAGATTACTTACCTTAAAATTTATGTCTTACCAAGGATAAATTCTATACAATTAGCCCAATAACAATTAACAATATTGTATCTTTAAATTACTTACCTTAAAACTTAATTCAAAAAAAAACTTTCTCCACGCACCACTATGCCTTTGGGAAACAACACATTTCAAGAGGCACTCTTCCATAAATTGTTAGACAGTTTTGTATAACCTTAGCTTCAATCAGAATGATGTACTTTATGAGTTTATTGTAAATGAATAAAGATACATATTTGATTCATGTTCCCTTGGTATG